TCCAGGCACGGAGCCGCCGCTGAGGGGCCCGGCCGGTGGCCGTCCTGCTGGCTCTGTCAACCCGGGGATCCTAGCTTCTGCTCGTCGCTGCTGCTTATTTATTTTTTTCTTTTCCCCCCTGTAATTTCCTTTTAACTGCATGCATGCGTGAATGTGCGGAAAGAGCTTGATCTGGGATTTTGGAGGTTCAGCATGTAAGGTGGTTTTGCATTATTTTTCTTTTTGGTGACTTGAGAAGTTGCGGACTGAATCGGATGAGTATAATGAAGATGGATTAGGACATCTTAAAATGGAACACTTTCTAATGCCCTGACTCTTAAACGTGCTGTGTATAGGGAGCTGGTATACTCAACGCATGCAGACCCTAAGCCCCGATGGCATCCCTAGAGAATGCACTGGTTTCCACAAAGGTAAATATGGGAGAATATCTACACAACTCTTAAGGCTTTTAAAGAGTAATATAGAATGTTTGCAGCATATTTTTGAATGCTGAGTCTTTGTGAAAACCAGTGGATTTTTTTCTTTTTTTTGAGAGATTGTTTGCCTTTCACTTTGGCAGAGAGAATTTGTAGCAAATAAATTCATTACCAACTGTGAAGTCTTATATTTGAAAGAGAAAAAGATACTGGATATCTACAAGTATAGAAACGCAAGTCTAGGGGCCAGGCTCCAGCTGATGGTTGAGGTCTAGCTAGAAGCAGTAAGAAGCCTAATCTTTAGTTGTTCATTTCTTGCACTGTCATCAAAAATGACACCATTAGCCCTGGTCAGACCTAGAGTTTCATTTCATTTCCCGTGTTAAACAGCACCATTCCCAGAGAAGAACCTGTCAAAAAGTAAGCCACAAATAAAAATTTTTATTAATGATATAGGTAAGGGCCAGATCTTTCAGTCCCGCTCAAATCAGTTATTTCCAGTGACATCATGTACTGTATGGTCTGACTTTCATCAGTCTGACTCACCTGTAGTTATCTTTCAAAACAATTATTTTCTTTTGAGTTCATAGATCATAAATGTTAATTTTCTGCAGCTGTTTAAATTGCTTTGTGTTGTGTTACTCTGCTACAAAACTGGAAAAAAGTAACTTTTAAGGCAGTCTTGATATTTACTCCTTTACCTTATCAGACCACTGTTTTCAATGTGTCTTTGTTCTGTGTATTGAAGGTGACAGCGGAGGTTGGAAAACTTCTCGGTGAAGAAAAGGTGGATGCAATCTTGTGTGTAGCAGGAGGATGGGCTGGAGGCAGCGCCAAAGCTAAATGTAAGCCTTTGGTACATGTGTACTAGTGAGCACATGAATGAAATCTGAGAGGCAGCCTTAAAAATCATGGTAATAAAGATATTTGAGATCATCTTTCATCTCGAGTCCAGAAGAGGACATGAGCTTAAAAGAACAAAATAGCTCAGTCACAATGCTTCTTAGTGCTTTTCTGTATTTCTCCTGTCTGTTAAATTTGCACAGCACTTGGTATTCTCAGTAGTGCTTTTCAATGCGCCACTTTTCATCAGAAAAAGCCAGTTTTCGTGAGAAAAAGCTTGATGCACTTTATGCGTTTTTATCTATGAACTAACTTTTGCTGAGGTTGCCTGTGTCAGGCAAGTTACATGAGGCCGTGGCTGGGTAGAAGCATCGGTGTTGGTCCCTAATTCATTGCCTTATGCGTAAAACCTCAGTTGCCTCCTGCAGTTTTCTGAGCCGTTACTGTGCAGTACAGTATTGGAAGGAGCTGTCTAATGATCTGAGATTGTGCTACAAGAAAAAGCCTTCAGTTTAAAAAAGCTTTTAAACATGTAATATTCAGAATGAAGTTTTATACTTTACCCAGTAGTGCAGAGCTACAATGAAAAAAAACCACCTTGTTTTCTGTCTGGAGTAAATCTGGTAAAATGACCTTTTCAGAACCCCTTCCAGTTTGGACATTACAGGCAAAGATTTCTTTTTAAAGAGAGACAGTATGGGAAGGCAATACATGCTTACTCCACAGTGGCCCTATATTAGCTTGTTATTAGTGTGCACTGTATTTTAAATAAGATGATTTATCATAACAACAACTTACAGAGGTGTTATTGGTAGGGTAGCAGGACATCTTGGTGTAGGTGGTTGGCTTATGTCACAGAGTTACTTATGCTCATTCCATACTGTGTTAGTAACTAAAATCTTTGATGTGGCTAGGTTTTTGTTCTTCTTTTCCCATGCAGATATTGATAATAAAAAACAATGGTGAAAGTTCAGGTTTTGCTTTCATTTGAAGTTACTGGTATACCTCTCCTGGTAGGCTTCCTTACCAGAGCTTGCATTCCAGTGTGTAGGGCCACTGGACAGTGCAGCCTCGTGCATCTTGTCAGATTGTTTCTTGGTTTATGAAGTAATCTGGTGATAAATATTTTCTGTTCAACTCCTTTATCTCTCGGAGTCTTCTATCCACATACCAATGGAGCGTAGCTCTTTTGCAGCCAGTGAGGGAGTTATGGAAAGAGGCAGATCGTGCTGCTACAAGGTGAGATGAGGCTAATGTGAGGGTTTTGAGATCCCTGACTGAAATTGAAGGAACTCTTGCAGGAGTTTCAAGAACTTGGAAATCTCTGAACTGTTAGTGGAGAGCTAATGGAACTATCTCGTGTTTGGGTTTTTTTTCTTATTGGTAGTGAGAAAGCAGGTAATTGCCTAGAATATACGCTGTAGAGCTGGGACTCAGAGCCCAAAGAGAAGGGAGACACAAAAGACATAACTGGTATTTTATCCAATGTGGAAGTAGAATATGGTGGAAAGCTTGTTTTCGTAGTCCTGTTGTATAGTGCTGTTGCATTCTGTGATGGTAAGGAAATTAGAGTTAGAAGTCTTCTGTCTTTTAGTTAACTCTTCATTCTCTTCCTAACCAGCTTTGTACAAAAATTGTGATCTGATGTGGAAGCAGAGCATTTGGACATCCACTATTTCCAGCCACCTAGCCACAAAACATCTGAAAGAAGGCGGCCTCTTGACTTTGACAGGAGCTCAAGCTGCTTTATCTGGAACTCCAGGTAAAATGCAATGCATGATAACTGCTGGGTCATCAACAGTTGTAGCTCTCTGTTAGTCTGAGCGTTCTTGACTGTGAAGCAACAGGGTCACTCCCCAGTTTCTTGACATCTGCTACAAATGGAAAATTGCTGCTGAAACGCTGAAGGAAAGTGTAACTTTCCAGGTAGCAATACCGAATCTCTTGAAGCTGGAGTGCAAATGGATAGAATCAGTATTTAAATAACATTTGACATGCATTGGTGAAATGTACTTGGCTAATGCATGATACAGTAAAAAAATTTTGGAAAATAATGAAGAACAGAAGCATACAGCAAGCTGTAAGTACAGTGCTTAATAAAGTTAGATCTCCTGTTTGTGTTCTGAAAGGCAGAGTCCTTAATTGCCCAATTTTTCCATTGGTGATGACTCAGCTGATTCTGTTAAATGTGCTTGTCCTGTTCATGTTCCGATTCCAGTCTACATTTGCTTCAGACCTAGATAAGCTTGTTGACCTTTGGCTTTGCCCTCTATTAGCTATTTAATACAAACTTTATTCAGTTTTTTTTAATCTCACTCCTTGCCGTGTTGGTCTACATGGAAGAAGAAATCTGGGAGCAATTTAAAATGAAGAAAAAAGGCACCGACCTACAGGCCCAGAGGCAGGGAGAGGAAAGTTTGAGACAAATACTCTTATTTCCCAATCTTTTATTAGTGTGACCTCAACAATATTTTGATGAGACATAGATGCTAAAATTTTAAAATGTAATATAAAATTTGTGAATATTATTGAAAGCTGTGTCTGAAACTGTTAAGGAAATATATGCTGTATTTTCTAGTTAATGATTTATCTTCTATGTTTGCAGCTGTGTCTGGCATAGACCAAAGATGAAAGGCTTATTTTGTGAGAATAAGCAGATGAATAATTTACTGTGTACTACTAACTGACCATACACAAATGAAAAAATGAGAACTCTGGCAAACTTTCATGTTGTTTTTTGTTTGGGTGGTTTTGGGAGGTAAGGACTGCAACACAGGAAGCAAAGTGATTTGCTTTTGTGTTTTGAACTAGCTGGTTTCAAGTAGTCTGGATTTTTCTGAAAAACACAGCAGTGCTTTGGGCAAACACATGCAATTGTTAGGCTTGTTAATACCAACCGTTATGGAAGGAACTTTTTTCTTTCTTTTTCCATCTTTTTCTTGTTTGCCGTGAGCGTGATTTTTCTTTTCCCATGTGAAAATGTTGACTTGCATAATGCAAATTGAAGACTACTGAGAATTACAGAGTTACAGAAGCAGTCTAACAGTGATGGCTAAGAAATGTAGAAGCATGAAGAGGTTTAAGAAGAGTTGGAATCTTTGGTTTAGTTGAGACAGAGGGGAACAGGATAGAGATGCAAATATTTTTATTGTAACAATAAAATAAGTTAGCTACTGCTGCCCATGATTCCTCATAGTAAAAATGGATGTTGTAAAATGTGTCTAATTGAATATAATGGAAACACTTCTGCAATGCAAAACTAGCTTTGTCGCTTTCACAGAATCATAGAATCCTTTGGGCTAGAAGAGACCTCTTAAAGGTCATCTAGCCCAACCCTGCTGCAGTGAGCAGGGAAATCTTCAGCCAGATCAGGTAACTTTGGTACAAAATACTTCCTCAGGAACATTGGAAAGGGGTTGTGTAGTTACATGGATGGGTAGAAAGGCATCCAGTTGTAGCAGACAAAATACATTTATTTTTTCTTGTGTGCTTGATCTGTGTCTAGTCTGCTTGGCAGATACATACCATGAGACATCTTGGATCTATAGCACCCTGACTGTGTACCTGGCCAGTCTGCCTTCTGCTCTCGTTCCTGTTGCTCTTACACTGCTAAGTACTGTCTGCTTAGAAAGCAACAGTGTTTAGGAAGAAGTTTGCTTTACCTGTGGGTTACCTAGTACTTTTATACCATCAGGGGGCTTTTTTTGTCATTTTCTCCAAAGGGCCTGTCAGACTTGGGATGCTGACCAAGCAAATGACAGTTCTTAAGAGAGTTGAGCTGTGTCTGTCTGGCTCCAAACCTGCAAATACCTTAGTCGTATGATTGAAATTAATGGAGGATCACCTCGTCTATGAGCATCTCCATACTCACTCTGTTAGATTTGTAAGGCTAGTCATGTAGGCCCCATCCTTCAGGGTACATCTGGGTACATTAACTAAATATACTTAACTCAGTAAGCTGCTTATTTCTGTAGTGCTGAGTAAACTGTGTTCTGTGATGGTTTCTGGATGCCTAGTAAGAGCTTTTTGGTTTTTCTTTTTTCCTTTTTTCTTTTAATATGTATGTTTTGATAAATTTTAAAAGTCTTGATTTTCTTCTGGCTGTGGTAAGTGGTCTTAATATTCATCAAACAATCTTGAGTTTCTATAATACTACTGATGATATTGAGAGCTGTTTTGATTGTGCTCTAATTTGCCTGTTTTTAATTGTCAGGGATGATTGGCTATGGCATGGCCAAAGGAGCAGTGCATCAGCTTTGTCAGAGTTTAGGTGGTGCCAATAGTGGCTTGCCGTCTGGTTCTGCTGCTGTTGCCATTTTACCGTAAGTGATTGTATAGTAGCCTCTACCTGTGGTGTTTTATTTAATTACTGCTGTAGCCTAGAGTCACATGGATATGCTTGTGATGTCCTGTGCACAGTACACAAACAGCTTCTCAGGCCTACTTACTGTTTCACAGGGAAAGGAGGCATGTTGAATGTATGAACAAAATGATATGCGAGTCACCTGAAAAATGATGATTAAATTATTTTCCTTTCCTTTGCAAAACAGTAGTGGATGTTAGGATTAAAATTTATTCACTTTTAACCAGTTTAGCCATAGCAATGCATTCATGTATGATTATTTTTTTTTTCCCCAGTACAGACAGAACTTTGAAAATTAGATGAGTTGTTCAGCACAGTTTTAGACTTAGCTGTGTGATAATAGTAAAGGAAAGGATTACTTCACAAGTTTTGAATTGGTTAAAGATGCTGCTTCATAGTAGGCTGCATATCTATGCTTGATCAGTAAAACTGGGTCACTTTGAGGTCTGCAAAAAGAAAAAGTTTAGCTTATATTTGCCTGTCACAGCGTTCTTTTTGATAAGGAAAGCTAGTAAAAAGTGGATGGCCTAGTTGGTCTTTGCTATGTCTAAATTTATCAGTTCTACTGCAAAACTTAAGTATTTTTCTTGCCAGGTCCATATCTAGTTCAGGACCCGAAACTTAAGTCTTCTATAGGGATCTGGAGCGCTACTTGAATTCTCCCTGCTTTGTTTTCCTCATATATATACTCTTAGGTGCCCTTCTTCAGGTCAGAGATCAACGGCATTAAAAGTCTTTGGATAATTGACAGCACCTTCTACAGAGCCTTACAGACAGGCAGATACCAGGGTCACTGGACTTCTAGGCATCCTGCACTTGCATAGTTCTTATGCAAAACTCTTCTTGAGTGAATTTTTGAGAGCGTAATTATACCTTGGATTGTCAACAGCATCTCAGTAGGGGAGTTGTGAAAAATTCGCCCCTTAATATCATTGTACGTAGCATAAATATGTATCATCAAAGGCAAAACTTCCTGTGCTTGTGCGCTTAATCGCTGCATTTGCAGCTGGCATGAGGCTCTCTGAAAGCACGGGTGTAGTGCGTCTGTGCTGTGCAGTACGTGTGAACGAGGGTGTTGCTGCTGTTCCCTGCCTGCATGAGAGAGACTGGAAGGGAGCTGTGGCTAAGTGGTTGACCTAATGGGCTGGATGTCTTCAGTGAGGCGGGAAGGTGAGGGGTTACAGGTTGGAGCCTTTTATATATGTGGAAACTGATGGCTATATGCTGTTAACGTGTGTAGGGGATGCAAGGGAAATCCATACCACGTGGTATAAAAGTCAAGCATATGTTACAGCGGTGAATAGAAGCAGGTGGCACTCATCAGGAACATGATGTAGAAATAAAATGCTTATCTTTTTTTAATCACAGGGTTACCTTAGATACACCAGCAAACAGGAAATCAATGCCAGATGCAGATTTCAGCTCCTGGACGCCCTTAGAATTCATTGCTGAGTGAGTATCTGTGTGATGACTAAGTAGTTCCTCACCGTCCCTCTTGCTGCTGCCTCTTACTGCATGTTCTTTCTAAATAGCTGTCTTGGATTTGGGTGTTTTTTTCCTTCTGCCATCCCTGCATTGTGTGTTTCTAAATCACATTAGGTTTATTGCCCAGGCTTCTTAACTGGAGAAAATTAGCCCAACTCCATCAACTTCAGCATCTCTGCACCAGTTATTCCAACAAGGGAGATAGCCTTAAGCAATTGGAAGCCAGAGAATCTCATAAAGCCTGCAGACAAATTAAATTGCAGACAGTAGATGCGGGAGACAGTAGCCTGGCTTAAAGGTAAACTGCAGATAGGCATGTAAACTTTGGTGGTTTGGTTTTTTTTTTTCCCTTTTAAACAGTCTTCACTGCCCAGTCTGTGGTGTGTTAGTTCAGTTCTCACAGCTGGCAAAATTCCTGCTCTTGTTTAGAAAAATTCAGTCAAGATTGGTTTTTTTGTTGTTTTCCATCACCCGCAAAGGCTTGTCCTGAGCAATGTTGCAAAATGCTGAAACTTCATCTGTAGCTTAGGTAACAGCAGGCTGAGGTTCTAAGGCTTTACCGTTTCTCATTCCTCCCAGTTAGAGAAGGCGCAGGCCAGGTGCTGCCTTGGGAGATGTGGTGGGGAGTAGCAAAGGCTCTGCTGAGGGTGAGCTGTCAAAAGGAAGAAAATAAGTACACAGCTGTCCTGCCTCTTTGAGGAAAACCACAGATGAGTTTACATTTTTAAAGTATTTTAGAACTGACGCTGAAATTGCATTTATCTATTGTTAATTGTTCAGGGAGATGTTTAGTTCTGACATTAGATTTCCTTCTTGTGATTTTTTTTTTAAGTTGGACGTCAGAGTGGGAAATGTTTTTTGTTGCAAGAAGCCTTTGCAGCTGTTTGATGTGGCTCTTTAAAAGGGCCCCATTAATTTAATTTAATTGGCCTAAAAATGTTCAAAAAAAGACCTTTAATTTATTGTGCTCTAGCTACTGCTTGACCAGATGTTGTGGTTTTACAAATTCATTTTTTAAATTTTAACTTCTTAAGTATTTTTTCCTTATGGGAGCATTAGGTTGACTGGTTTGTTTTGTTTCTTGGGTTCTAGTTTACTGAACTTTAAATCCAGCTTTGAAAACTGAAAATCTCCCTGGCTGTGGGAGAAAACCACCCAGTGTTGCTAAGTGTTGGTAACATCTGCATCTTGGGAAGGGTGTGGGAAATCTTTTCTTTTACAGCACTTTAATTTTGTGCCCTGGAGGCTGTTGTGTCAGACAGCAGGACATTCCAACACGGTAGTGGCTGTGTTGGCAATATTGGAAGGGTTGATGGACCTGAAAAATACACTGTGCTTTCTGTATTATATTTTGAGTAAAGAGTTTGTATTATACTCTGATAAGGAGCGTTCGGCTGTGCTGCCTAGAATAAGTGCATCTCACTTGGCACTATTTTGGAAGTCTTAAGGTTTTCTGTGCTTCTGCTGAGACCACTTCCATGGTTAAATAAGAGTTATCATGGCCTGTTGGCAGAGTAATGGGTTTAGCAACTTGTTAGTTTAGCCCTAAGTCCGTGTTTCTGATATATAGGCAACTTAAGTAGCCTCTGCTTCCCCTTTTCAAAACTGTTTTCTAAACTTTGAAAAAACTTGCCGCTTTGGCTTGCCAGTTTTAAGCTCCTAGCCTCTTCCTTTGAGGTGTTCTGACAATCCTGTATGCATACTGTAAAGCCCTATGGATTTCTCTGGGCCTTTCTCCAGCTCTGAGGGTTTGAATCCAGTGCGCATTGCCAGTTTGCAACATACATAGAAATCACTGGAGAGGGCTATAGGAAAAGGAAAAAAAAAAGAGTAATAGACTTTATTTTATGCTGCCTGTCAATATACCTGATAGTAGTATTTGTTTCCTCCTCCTCACCCTGTTTTATCCATTTATTTTAAAACAGAACCTTTTTTGACTGGATAACAGGAAAGAATCGACCAAACTCGGGGAGTCTAATCCAGGTGATAACTACAGGAGGGAAGACTGAACTAGTTGCGGCACATCTTTGATGTCAGTCACTTAAGAAGGTGAAACTTCAGCAAAAGAGAAGCTATGGAAAATCTGCCAGTATAATTTGGATGGCCTTCTGTGCCCTGTGATCATAGTTATGGCATTAATGGAACCAGATTTCGAGTAATATTTCTGTGCTGTCAGTTGTGAGCTATCAGCATTTGTTTACCAACAAGTATCAAGTATTTGTCTCTAAATGAAAGTTGCAGGCTTTAAAGTTCAGAGATGTCCCCATTCTGAGCATTGTATGTTGACTTACCTGTTCTCTCTGACATGGGAGTTGTGCTTAATTATGTCATGTAATCACGTATATAATGGCTGGATTGTTTTCTCAGTCTGTTTCTGGCAATTTATTATGAATCTTTTGGTAGTCCGTCTGTTGTCTTCTGTGAATGCAACCTCACCCTGCGTATTATGTTGGCTGTAATTATAGGAAATGTTACAGTTGTATGTAATGTCCTGGTCTTCTAACATTTCTCATGTCAATGTTCCACTTGGGTTAATGGACCTATATAGAGATTGCTCACTTAAGGAGGAGGAGTTCCTAATTTGCCTTACAGTTTACAAGCTGCTATCAGGCCTATGGTTGTAGGATAAAAGAGTCATTCTGCCAAATTATTAGTATGTCTTTGGGTTAGTCGTAAGGGTTCTTGGCTTTTTGAAAAAGTAAAGTGCTATAAAGAAGTGCTAGAAAAAGCCTACACACACTTCTATTTGAATATGGAACTTTTTCTGCTAAATAAATGTATTGTTTTATGTACTGGGCTGTCTCCACTGTAATCCAAATATTTGGATGACATTTTAATCACTTTAACTGGACTTGCAGTTCAGTTAGGGCAAGGAGTTCATTCTTATTTCCTTCGGATCATGCTGTGTAAAATACATTTCTGTGGTAGAGGTGCAGAAGAGCTATGAGCCCCAGGCCTCCAGCCAGAGAAAATGTTTTCTTTAATCCGGCTGTGTTATGTGGAAACATAGTTTGGTTGTAAAGTGACAGTATTGCCTATCTGGGCACAGGCTTACATGGAATTGGTACTGTCAGGTTTTTTTTGGAACATCTTGAAAACAACTGAACATGCAAAGTTGTGTGTGCGTTCTCTCTATGCGCATTTCTTTTTTTTTTTTTTTTTTTTTTTTTTAAATTAACATCAGGGTTGTGTTGGGGAAGGATTTACTGCTGTGAGTCAGGAAACGTTTCCTCCCTTTCCACCAGGAAAAGCTCACAGATGCCTAATGTTACTTTTAATATGGTGATATGGCTGCACGATCACCTCTTTTGGTATGACTGTCCCTGTACTCGTTTTGTTCTGCTGGGTGTAGAGGGGAATTTTTGTCCTGTCCAACCAGTCAAGAACTGTTAATTCATGAAGCTGCTTTTGATTTAAGTGGAAGACTGGCAGCCATGCTCTTTGGCCAGCAATTTCTACAGGTGAAGAGTATAGACAAAAACTGCAAGGCACTGATAAGGAATGAAACAGTAAGGTGTGACTCAATTATTCTGGATAAGGGAAGAGCTATTGTACCACACATTGGCATGACTTGAAGGCCTCCCTCTGCCGAGCTGTAGCTGGATTTCTGAGTTGCTTTCAGGTTGCTGTGTTTTGTCTTTTTTCAAACATCTATTGAACTGTGTCTGGGGAGCTCCCGGAAGAGCAGATCGAACTCTTGAATGGTGAAGGGAGCACAGCTGGGATTCCAGATGTGCATTTCTGCAGCTGTGTGAGAGCACGGGGCCAAGGACCGAGCAGACTGTAAGGCTCATGGATATTTTTACAGAACTTGCTGTGGCAGAAGCTGTTAATGCAGCAAATGGGACTGAGATGAGCAGAGAATCTTGTATTTGCTAAGGGCTACAGGGACTTTTCAGGCATCTTTTATAGATGATGTGCATATACATTGACCTTAATGTTCTTATTAATAACCTGGTGAAAAAGGCAAATGGCTGATCACTGGTCATGTGGAATTCAGTTGAAGGTTGTGACTAACCAACACTGAGTGTATACAGAAGGAAAGAGGGAAACCAGGTTTAAATTTTGGTAGAGAACAAAAGGTCAGAAAAAGACAGTGCAGTGCAACCCATCCATTTGGGAAGCCAGACTGATTCCTCCTCCTTCACTAGAAAGACCTGATGGTCCTGGTATGAAAACCTGACGCAAGTCTGTGGTTCTGACCTAGATACCTCAGATACACTCTGCCAGCATCAACTAGAGAGAGGGCCTCAAAAAATGGGGAGGTGTTGACGCTACGTGGAGGAGAGGGTCACCAAGCTTGTGGAGTCTCAGCCTGGGTGATTTTCTCACTCCGTGGCACACCGCATGAACGCACTGCACAGGTCTAGCAGCAGAACGGCTGTGCTGGGGCAGTGTTGAATGGCCCCCCCAGCCGCTCCGGGCTGCTGTGGGGCTGCAGCTCTAGCTCCGGTGCCGCTTCAGTGTCTCACGGGTCTGCTGTGCATATCCTGACTGCTGCTCTTGCCCAGGTAATTAATGAAAGGCTGTGGTGTAAGGCAAAGTAGCTGTATAACTGCATGAGATGGAGGAAATCCACGTTGAATGGGGCATGAATGTAGCAACAGGAATGTTGTCCTGAACTGAGCTTTCCTTCTTCCACTCTTGCTTGAAGGGTGAAGAACGGTAGAAGACACGAGCGATTTCTCTGTCCCATAAAAAGCATCTACCCCCGCATCCTCATTCAATTTGTACTGGTGCCTGCTGGCTAAGAAGCGGTAATACAGCTGTTGGAAAAAATAATACATTGACTGTAGCAATGTAGGAGGGGTGAAACATGCTGACTGGGCAGTGGTGAATGGTGTTATAATTGTGAATGGAGGACTGCTGACTGGATTATTTCATCAATTGCAGGTATGAGCAGAAAGAGATGAAAACGGCATTGCTGAAGCTTGAGAGTGAGACGGAAGGTGTTGGCAAGCCTATGTCAAGCTTGCTGCTAGAGGTGAGGGATTTAACCTGGGGAGTTTGATGGGAAAGAGGCTTTATGTGACCAGCTTCATCCCGTGTCTCTACAGACTATGTTCCAGTCAAGTAATTGCTTAGGGGGAAAAAAGCCACCCTGACGCTGCAAACATCTGGGTTGCCTGGCTCCTTCAGCAGGCTGAGCTCTGTTGGTGCTGCAGTGAGGAGAGCTGTAGTCCATGGGAAGTGCAGGGAGTTAATCTGTACTAACCGGGCACCCACACCCCTGGGGACCAGAGGTCCCGTGTGAAGGTTTGCACAGAACCAGAGTGGTTTGGGTTGGAAGGGACCTCTGAAGATCACCTGGTCCAACCCCCCGGCTGTGGGCAGGGACACCTTAGCACTTCTTACAGAAATGCAGTCCCTGATGAATTGCCGCTCCAGTTTTGTTGAGAACCCCTGAATGGTTCAGCACATTTCACTGTTTATATGGCACCATCAACAACAATGTAATACTGCAGAAGTAGAAAGCTTATCCTCCTTTAAGGAATGCACTATTTATTCATTTCTTACACATACTAAGCAGCTGAATTTACCATTTTTTTATTTAGGACAACTGGTGTCATATTAAGAATTCAGGTGCATAGATCCAATTCAGTAAGGCACTTTTCTATACACCCTTTTGAAGATGCATACTACTGTTTACTAAGGAAAGAGATCGGTGAGGTCTGGGGAGAAATAAAACGCAAATCGTGCCACGCCAATCAGTCCTGCTCTTACACTCTAACCCATTTGTGCTTAGCATGCTGGCTTTTGCAGGAGCAGCAGTCTGCCCCTTGTTCTTAGAAAAGGGATGTTTTCAGACCTGAGCCAATGTGTCTTTGAACAGATGATGTATTTACATGCATAGGTGTACACCTGTACATCCACCTACATAGGTGCAGTTCCCCCAAACTGGGGTGGCTGTTACACGTAGCATCAGATACAAATGTGCAGAGACAAAATATGTCTGCCGTAATGCCGTGGCAGCAGGGACAGGTCCATTTTGTACGAGTATTTTTTTCTCCTACAGATTTAGGAAAAGTAGATTTTAATAAAGCGCAAGCAAGTATAAAAGAGACTTGTCCAAAGACCTCTGAATACCGGGGAAGAAGCTGATTTTGACATTTTGGGCTGTGGTGGGTTGACCCTGGCTGGACACCAGGTGCCCAGCGAGCCGCTCTATCGCTCCCCTCCTCAGCTGGACAGGGGAGAGAAAATATAACAAAAGGCTGCTGAGTGGAGATCAGGGCAGGGAGAGATCACTCACCAATTGCCATCACAGGCAAAACAGACTCGACGTGGGGAAATTAGCTTAACTGATTGCCAATCAAATCAGAGTAGGGTAGTGAGAAATAAACCCAAATCTTAAAACACCTTCCCCCCATCCCTCCCTTCTTCCTGGGCTCAACTTCACTCCCCATTTCTCTGCCTCTTCCCCGCCCAGCAGCGCAGGGGGACGGGGAATGGGGGTTGGGCTCAGTTCATCACACCCTGTCTCTGCTGCTCCTTCCTCTTCAGGGGAGGACTCTTCACACTCTTCCCCTGCTCCAGCATGGGGTCCCTCCCATGGCAGACAGTCCTCCACGAACTGCTCCAGCATGGGTCCTTCCCATGAACTGTAGCTCTTCATGAACTGCTCCAGCATGGGTCCCTTCCACGGGGTGCAGTCCTCCAGGAGCAGCATGAGTCCCCCATGGGGTCACCAGCCCTGCCAGAAAACCTGCTCTGGTGTGGGGTCCTCTTTCCGTGGGGCCACGGGTCCTTCCAGGAACCTGCTCCAGCATGGGCTTCTCACAGGGTCACAGCCTCCTTCCTTTGGGCATCCACCTGCTTCGGTGTAGGGTCCTCCCCAGGCTGCAGGTGGGGATCTGCTCCCCCGTGGGCCTCCATGGCTGCAGGTGGGGATCTGCTCCCCCGTGGGCCTCCCCGGGCTGCAGGGGCACAGCCTGCCCCACCATGGGCTGCCCCAGGGGCTGAGGGGAATCTCTGCTCCGGTGCCTGGAGCTCGTCCTGCTCTCCTGCTGCACTGGCCTGGGTGTCTGCAGGGCTGCTCCTCTCACATCCTCTCACTTCTCTCTCTCCAGCTGCTGTCCCCCAGCAGGTTTTTCTCCCCCCTCTTAAATACATTATCCCAGAGGTGCTACCACCATCGCTGATGGGCTCGGCCTTGGCCAGAAGTGGGTCCACCTTGGAGCTGGCTGGCACTGGCTCTATCAGACGTGGGGGCAGCTTCTCACAGAAGCCAAATCTGTAACCCCGCCACTACCAAAACCTGGCCATGCAAACCCAAAACACAGGTGTAAGTGGGTGAGAACCTGAGCTGCTGTTCAGACTGAGGCTGCCATCCTGCAAAGCCTGACCCATGCACGGTCCTGCTGCTTTGCAGAACCTTTGGTTCATTGCAGGACCAAGTCTGAAATGTTTTCAGATTTTACTGCAAAGTGAAATACACATATTTTAGCAACAGGTTTAATTACTTTTTCAAAGTTATATTTTTAGGGGAAAATTAATTTTCTATCAATTAGCTAATAACAATTGGCACAAAATGAAGGTTAAAATGATGCTCTGCACCCAGAGAAAACGGATGCACTGTAAATACAATGGAATGGTTTCCAAATACGATGGTAGCTGAATCATTCAGCAGTTGCAGTTCTACATTAACCCAAAATTACACTTTGAA